TCGCTGAAATCGTGCATATCAGGACTGTTTAAACAGAATATTTATGTATTAGGTCATTTCCTTCCGCTCTTTGTATAAACTGAGGTAATTGTTAAACTCCGTTTCACATTGCGTATTCAAGTTGAACTTCAGCCTGGCTCCAATGTTAAGTAAATTGGTACGTGATTTTGGCGGCAGAAATTCCGTCATCACCCAGCGTGAACGGAGTTTATTTAATTAATCGGACGACACACATTGTAGATTTTAGTTTAGAGTCGAGTCAATTAATCGGAACCTATGAATTCCAGTCAACATGAGAATGGGGCTGTTTCCTTAAAATTGTAAGTCAGTTCTGATTAAACAGAAATGTATAAGGTCATTTCCTTCCACTGGTTATTAAAAACGGGTGCACAACACAATTAATTTTTCAAAATTCATTTTGCTTAAATATAATCCGATGTTTGAGGCAAATTACATACACATGTAAACATATATACATTTTGTTTAGGAAAATTAGCTAAGGCTAAGATTATACATAACACGAGAAAATTTCTAATAGTCGCATCTTTAGCAAGCTAAATTTCTATGAAAAAACTAAGCAAAATATTAGCACCACCAAAACCTGTATCTATTTATAGGTTATCGATCAATAAGTGTGATCATGATATCGTTACGCGTCCTATTTTTTGTGGTAGCCATAATACACCATCATACTCTGGGAATCTCGGCTTCTTCAGCTAAACCGGAAAATAATCATAATAATCGTTCCTGCTAAACTCGTTCCTCCCTAGCGATGGAGGAACGCTTACAAGGGACACTCACGACCTGTCGTTTGAGTCCAGAGTACCCACTATGTTTTTTAGAATCTACTAGGACCCCAGATGAAGGATTCATTCATATTTCCGTGTTAAACTCATATTTGGCGTCGTGCCGTGGCGCCAAACTTAAAAATTTGCATTTTCGACCAATTTCAAACCCCCATAACTTTTGCAGTTTATGTCGGATTTCCAAAATTGTATGCTTAAAATGATCACAAAAGTTGAAATTTTCCAGAAAAAAATAAAAATCAAAAATTTCTAATTTTTGAAACATTTTTTACCATTTTTTCGACGAACCCCCATTTCTAAGAAATTACGAAATTTTGCGAAAAGTTAAAAGCGATAATTTTGGAAAAAATTTCATGGGATAAGAAAGTTGAACTCCTTGTCATGATTTGTTTCAAAAATTTTGAAAATCCGTCCAGGATTTCAAAAGTTATGGCGGTTTCAAAAATAAAACATTCGAATTTCGCGAATTTGGCGCCACGGCACGGCTCCAATTATGAGTTTTACGGGGAAATATGAATGAATCCTTCATCTGGGGTCCTAGTAGATTCTAAAAAACACAGTGGGTACCCTGGACTCAAACGACAGGTCGTGAGTGTCCCTTGTTAGACCAACTCGCACTTGCAGTGATCGAGCTCAAACGTATATTTTTATACTTGCTAATTTTTTTGGTAGTCTCAAATTAAATCAAGGATTATATATAATTAGCGGAAACGGCAGCAAATCGGAAAAAGGAAGCGGTAAGAATGAATCCAAACAATTTCACAAACTTCATACCCACAAATGCTGTGTTAATATAAATATAATGAGTAGATTATGTGCCCGATCTGTCCCACGGGAGAGAAAGGACATCCGGGTGAGAGTTACATAAACTTCAACTAAAAATTTCTCTTCGATCTGATCTATATGTAAATCATGTAGGAATTCCTGGCGTAAATGGGGTTCCAGGACAACAAGGTAAATCTGAATAATAGCACCGTCATAAAAGAACTCCTAACCTTACATTTTTGCTAGTTAGGGTCTCCAGGTGATCCGGGAATACCAGGGGAAAGGGGTGAAACTGGGTTGCCAGGTAATCACGTGATTTTCTACAGGGGTGGGACAGAAGAAGGAGCCACTTGAATTTTAGGGGTGGCGTGTGATGCACAGTCGCGGCATTTTCAAAATTTGCATATGTCATACCCAGATAGCTAACGAAAATTTAGCACTATTCAGATTTTCCCTACGGTTAAAAATGCCCCTGCAGCACCCCCCAGAGTGCGAGGCACGCATAAAAGTGTTTTCCAAAGACATACTGAGCCAGAGAGCGATTGTTAGAAAATTTGCTGCAAATGGATTTATCGTCGATCGAAAGTACGTTTCTAATGTACTTAAAAACGTTGGAATCAAGCGGAGGGAAAAAGCGGTTAGAGCTCCACCCCCACGGAAAGGATACCCAAGATCCGCTTGAACCAAAAAGTTTATCCGGAAAATCAATTTTTCGCCAAAACGGTAAATCCACCAACTAAAAGTTGCATGGCGAAAATGTTGAACGTTAGTAGGAGAACATTTCTAGAGTCATTCACAATGACCTACAGCAAGTGACTCGTAGGAAATCCCGAGATCATGCTCTCATCCCAACTTATTTCTCACAAAATATCAGCCTACACGAAGGATTTTAAAAAAAGTTTGGGTATAACAATTATTCCTACTATAGAAACTCTCGTTAGTTCCTCTGATATCAATCCGATGTTTTTTTTGGATTCGAGTACTTAAAACAGAGCCTTCTTGAAAGGAAAACGCGTGCGTTTTGATGCACTTTGGAAAAGTGTTCAGGACGAGTGGTGCAGAATCACTCTGAAAATTGTGTCAAAGGTCATGACTATTTGGAAAAAGCGACTGAGGCTCGTTAGATAAACTAAAGGGCTTCACACTGAACCAATTACCAAACTTCACAAACGAATAATAAGGCCGGAATAAATTTAGGCAAAGTGGCTCCTTCTTCTGTCCCACCCCTCTGTAGTATGCAAGTTATCAAGTGAGATTGACTTTCCAGGATTTTATGGAATGACCGGAATGAAGGGAGAAAGAGGTTCCCAAGGGCAAAAAGGAGAGCGGGGAGACCCTATCGAAGGACTCATGTCACCATCGGCAATGTCCAACTGTCCGGAGGGATTTCACTTCTCGAGACGTTGGGGTGTTTGCGCCCCTTCAGTAAAACTACGTGGAAGTGTGGTTGGCTAATTTAAACTTGTTGGTCATTTTAACAAAATTAACATACACGGTAGCAAATTTATGTAATACATCCATAATTTATGTAATACATACCACAAGTGCAAGTGAGCCCATAAATTTTGTGTAATTTGGGAAATTATTCTTCGCAACTTCTTTTCCTGAACACAATCTTTTTAAAGGAATGAACGATGCAGTAGCAGAAAATGTTGTAAAGTACATCTTTTGACCACTAATCTACGGACACGCGTAGCAGTCGGGAACCATCCCTTTTGAGAAGGTACGGAAGTAGCATTTAATATGCCACATGCCCAACACCACCATCTTCCAGGAAGCTTTTCTCCCGACGTGTAACCATCAGGAGTCGGTGTCTGAAATGAACTAAAAATGTTCCATTTGTTAAGGTTCACCATGATTATGTACGTAGCGAGTTATACTAAAAAATAAGCCAAAAATTAGAAATCTCATGACATTTATTTATCTTCTCTCGCTTTTCCTCCACTGGCGGAAACCAAGGCGTACGTTGCCGTCAAATTTTTTTTTTAGTTAGGCCATTCAGCGGAAAGATACGTCTAATTTGTGGCTTGATTTTTTAAATATAGCACGATAGAAAATCCTGGTGTGCTAGAAAACATATTACATTGTAAGCATACCAGTGTGAACGTTAGAAACAAAGGACTAAAGGGTGGCCCAAATGTATCTCCCGACTTTTTCTTTCAAAAGAATAAGACCCTATTTTTCAAAACCATGTGACTTGGCGAACCCAAGTTTTTTTCCGCACATACCCCAGTATTTGGTCTCTCAACAGTTCACCCTAACAATGTCCTCATCGCTTTTGTTGAAACTCTATGATGATTTTTCCAAAGTCATTTTTGGTATAAAATTATACTTTTCTTGAACTTTTGTTGTTATCTCTGCTGTCAAGCATGGTTCTGGATCCATGTACATATCTTACTTAAGTATTGCCCATTGGTTATCCAAAACACCCACATCCGGATTTTTAGCAGACCACACCCCCTTACCCCAAACCGTTTTACTCTGTCCTTCATTTTGCGCCATGGTCATTTTTGAAGCGTGACTTGCAGCACCATCCTGCTGGAAAAGTACTGACTAACATTTGGAAAAAATTCCTTGTTTCTCATGCTATCAAAGTGTTTAGGTTGAATTTTCACTATAAAATTCTTTACCTGGATATGTGCTATACTTGTATACTATGAAAGGTTTTTAAGCCACGCGCATAAAAACACCCGCAACCATAACTTTCGATATCAATTGTAACACACGTATGGGTGGTACATCCGATTTTTTTGCGGTTTTGTATCTCATATTTTATAGGTTGAATTTTACATACAGCTTAATTCGGGATTCAATGGTCCAGGGGAAATGACGCCATGGTTCTTGACCTTGTATTTTTTCACACAAATCGCCACTTTTTTGAAATATTTCTCCAAATTTAAGACGGTCATCAATGTTCTTTTGAGATAGTAATGTTTTCCTAGTTAGTTTATAAGTTGTCTGACTAGAATTCGTTGATTTTGCAACCTTCTACATTGTAGCATCGTAAATTTACTTGTTAATAATTTTAAAGCATTTTGAGTCACTTCGTTCTTTTGAACAACTAAGTACCGAACTTCGGTTTTCGGGTAAATCTTGAGCTTAATTGTTGTTTTTCGGGTAGGTGACATCTTTCCACGTCGGTCAGGCCGCTTTTTGTATTTGACAAAATTTCTGCTGCTGCGTAGCCTTACCATTTTCCCGCGATATAACAATTTCTCCAAATTTTTATTAATTTTTTACTGCTACGCAACCGAAATTTTTGTCTGAATTCTATGATAGTCACGATCGACCTTCCATATTGGACTACTTATGGTAAAATTTTCAAAATGAAGCATTGGCTGGTTCAAGAATTACAGCCGATTTTATCTTAAACTTTTGCGGAAAAATTGCCCGGGAGATACATTTGGGCCACCCTTTAGGACAAAAATGTAAATTTCCTGAGCAAACCCCGATGCTCCTCTTAATAATAATATTATTTATTTCAATTCATCCTTTTATGTAAATAGACAAATATCTAAATATTCCACCACTTAATTAGTTTAAAATTTGAACAAAATATTCGAACCAGTTGTTACGGACGAGTTATTCATACCTATTTATCAATTTCCAATATTAATGCAGTTTAATTCACCCATCCCGCCTTGGTATCCTTCCCATACTACATATTAGTATGGAAGGGATACGAAAGCGGGAATACAATTTTGGGCAAAGTTAAACTACGATGATATGATTGGAAGTGATTACTAACGTAAAAAACTAGTCACAGAATCACTCTCGCTCCCATCTGATTGATCTACAAAATCCAATTTCACATCGTCAATACTCTTCGTTCTCTCTTTACATTTTCGATATGTAAGCCCAATAATTGTATCCTTTAAATTAGGAATTTTGTCGTTTCCTTTAACAACACTGAAGTCCTGATCGATAGATAATTGCTCGACTCTGTACCTCAGAGCATCAAAGTTCATTGGCACGATCTCAAAAATTTCCCATAGGACGATACCCAAAGAAAACAAATCAGCTTTCTGACCATAAGTTCCCGAATATACTTCCGGAGCTCGGTAAATTTCAGTTCCTCTCGGCTTAGTTTGGGTGACGCTGGCATTACCCGACATCTGACGGGTGAGCCCAAAATCCCCGATTTTTACTGGAAGCACAAATCCATCACGAGCAAAGTAAATGTTTTCTGGTTTAAGGTCCCGGTGTATCATGTCCTTTTGATGAATGTGTTTTAATCCAGCAATAATTCCTTGTGCTATGTTCATCTGCTCCTCAAGAAAGGCAGGATTCGAACTCGGGTCCTTATATTTTTTCCAGGTTTCCTCCAAACTAAGCCATTCTCGTAGTGTGGGGCCACATAGCTCCATTTCTAGGACGAAGGTGTTTTTCGTGTTGGACAGATTATTGCACGAATTATATAATCCGACCAACTTTGCGTCTTTTAAATTTGTTATGTTTACCGCGTCACCATAAGTTTGAAAAACACCTGTAAATTAAAAATTGATCCTCCATGATTCATATAAATTGTGTTCACAAAATATTTCTTTATTAAATCTCCACTCGATTTAAAAATTGGAAAATTCTTGAATCAAGACTTCAAGACTTTAAGACTTTAAATTGAATAATTTACTATAGGTAATTTTTTATGCAGTTTATCTCAAATTAGCTTCCTTGTGTCGATGGATTCTTCATTATACCCCATGTATTTATTATGCATAGCATAAGGTGAAATGAATAATGAATAAATTTATTCATTCATTCTAAATGAATATTAGTGAAATAAATTTTTTCAGAATTCATTCATTCAAAAATTTCGAACAAATTATTCACTCATTGTTCACGTATTCATTGAATAATGAATGACTACATTCCTCCTTGTCTATTGAATGTAAGAATGTAAACAGGTATGGCTGGGAATATAAATATTTCTGAAAGGTTTTGTGGCGCACGAACATACCTTAAGTGATATTTGATTTAAGTCACACAGAAAAAAAAACACAGCGCTGTGCTTCATTCATATATAGTTCGCAATAAATCTGTTCATGGTCCACAGATGTGGACCATTTTTTTGTCCAGTGGACCATGGTCCATTGCGAGCTATGGACTCATTTAACAGGATAAATCCTGTCTATTTATCTAGTCCATCTAAATCTTACCTGAGATTGAGGCGTCATCTGGTGGCAAGAGGACATCATAACTTACTAGCCGGACCACGTTTTCGTGCCTGGTGAGCTCCGTCATGACCTTGAGTTCGGTATTTGTCGCTTTAATATCGTCAGACCCCATAGCAGTGTCGACATGGTGAAATTCGTCCAGCACGATTTTAACCGCTGTTTCTTCTGAAGTTAGAGGTTTGCGGATTTTGAACACAAATCCGAAAGAACCCGCCCCGAGGAAGGAGAGTACTTGGTATGATTTCCATTTACGGAGACGTTCCAGCCGCTCAGTTTTTTTAGACTGGGCGCCCGAGTTTGCTGTAAAGAAAGTGGAACTTTATGTAATCAGAGTAGGGATAAAATAGAAAAATATGGCGAATTACATGACAAGTAGATCGGCGGCCTTTGTGATGGCAACGCAACAGGTAGGATGAAATTATCTAGCTGGTCAGGCGGTGGTGCCATTCGAGAACCAAATGCATGCTTTAACTCGTCTAAAAATAACGTTGCATAGTACACTTGGAATTATTATGCATGTTTAATTATCTTTCTGCCACCTGCACAAGCCAGGAACATGTTTTTCTCGAGAATTTCCGTTAATTTTAGAAATGTGGCATTGTTCCCGTTAATACTGATCCATATTCCTAAAATGTGATTTAGCACGACATACTTGGGTATGTCTCCGATGATTTGCGGAAATCTGCCGCCCCTCAAGTGCAGCCCGATGGATTTGCAGCCCATTTTGTGCCCCCTTGATTATCTGCAGCCCACCAATTTGCAGCCTATTAACTCCAGCCCGCGATTATTTGCAGCCCTTATTATTTGCAGCCCACCTCACAAAACGCATAATGCCACTACACAAGATGGAAAATATATGTACATCATATACAAAGGTCCATTCTCCCCGTTTTGGGTCATAGTGTATTTATTAGTGTCATTATTTACATACAGGGAGAAATATAAAATCAAGGTATTAAAACGTTCTCAAAACATCAGGCAATATAAAAATCTTTGAATAAAAAATCGTATAACATCAATCAATAAAAACATCTTTGAATAAGAAATCAATCAATAAAAAATCGCAAAACATCTTTGAATAAAAAATCAATCAGTAAAAAATAGCAAAACATCAATTTAAAAAAATAGCAAACATATATCAATTTTAATGGAATCGGACACGATAAGAAATTTGGCGAAGGTAGTCTATATGACAAAAATCACCAACCCCGTACTGTTCAACAACTTTTCTGAGTTTTGTTGAAGCTATTGCAAACTTTTTTCGTGGAGTGGGGACAGTACCAGCTACCCGTTGATGTATGGTTAACTCTGTCAAAACCTGTTGTTCTTTTAGTCCGTCGATAAGTTTATAAATAGTTGGGTGGGAAGCGCCGAGCAAAGAAGAAAATCCAGAGTTAAATCCCTCACACGCATTGTTCGTTTTGGGTAAATCCTCCAACACACTATGGAAGCAGTTCCACAGGGGGATGGCATACAAAGGAGCAACTCGGGCTGTTCTAAGAGGATTCCAAGGCCCCAACCAAGTCCGTTCAAAGTACCAGATGAAATCCACAAGTAAGACCGCGTTGTCGACAAAGAATTCCTCGCGAATTAACAATTCGTATGTAGATAATACGTCGTCTGGTGGGACAAAGGCCAAAGCTACAAGATTCCAGATATTGAGGGAAAAATTGGAGTCGGTAGTAAAACGATTCAAAATTTCTGGGAACTTCTGGATATGCCTATAAAAGCACTGTGAGAAGTGAAAAAAACACCCCTTCTGTTCGGCACGTGGAAAAGCTTCATTAAAGGCACTGAGTTCAGCCCGCTCGAAGTCGGTCATTATGGTCGTAGGTGCCAATCCAGCCTGGGAATCCAAAAGAGCGCTGAGAACGCGACTGTACGTCTCGGTTTTTCTGTTTGGGAGGAGAGCATATACAAGAGGGCATGTCACCCCTCCACGAATTCCGTGCAGCACAAACAGTTGATCGAAGAGGGAAGGCGCCACCTTGAAGGTACCATCCGCCAACCACACGGGACAGGATGCGAGGAAGTCCAGGTTTTCACGGGTCGCAAATACAAGAATCCTGGATGCTTTAGGACCAGAATCAAACAAAAGGAAGTCTGCACCTCCTTTTGATTTTTGAAATGAGGCTGGAAGAACAATATCCTCTCGCCTATGAGGTTGTACAAGAGATCCTACTCCAGAAGCACGTACATCCCTGATTGTTCTTTTCAGATTTTGTTTGAGAGGGAGGACTCCTTGCGCTGCGGCTGAGACATGCCCCACGTTTCGGGATATTATGGAGGCTGGTTGGTCGTTGGTGGATTTGGCGTCCTGACGTATCTTTGTGCGAACTTGACGAAGCTCGACATTGATGGGATTTTCGGGAAGATTATGACTTCCCAACTCGGATATGATGGTCACATTCTCCAAGCCGATCGAGGTGTGCATCCTGGCGGGACATTTGGCATGACGATAGCGGTCACATACCCAAATGCGCTTTTCATCGCCAAACTTGTGGAAGACGAAGGAGTATCCGTTCAATGATGCAACAGGTTTACCTCTTATGGATTCGGAAATTGTAATGGTGGCCATAGCTGGTAATAATAAAAGTTGAAACCAATTTTTATTAGTGAAAAAATTTCAGTCATTTTAAAAAATAGAAAATTTGGCCAAAAAAAGGAGGGGGGGCCTTACGGCCCCCCCTTCCCCCCTCCCCCCCCTTTCCCCTCACCTCCCCCAATTCCTGCCCCCCCAAAATAACCTCTAGTACAACTTGGGATGGGCTTTACTACTAGTCATATAATGGTTGACAATATGTGTGAATTGACTTCGTATTATTAGTTTGTATTGTATTTGGAACTAACATGCAAAATTTCAAAAAGTACCTTACCTATTTGGGAACCAAGAAACTAACGCTTTTTTATTATTCAAACAAAATAAATTACACATACACAAAAACAAATTAGTTGGGCAGAATTTCGGGAACTTATTTTTTTTAAATTTCACTGACACTGTTGGTATTCTCTCCAGTCGATCTACTTCCTTTAACTGACAAAAAAGACTAGTTGACTGCATCAAGTCACACAAAGGTGGAAAGAAAAAAAAGGTTGGAAAGAACCTTTTTTATGTTTTTTATCTATTTCTGGGAAATAGATAAATATAATTCAATCTAAGAAATGAACCTTTGTATATGATGTACATATATTTTCCATCTTGTGTGGTGGCATTATGCGTTTTGTGAGGTGGGCTGCAAATAATCGCGGGCTGGAGTTAATAGGCTGCAAATTGGTGGGCTGCAGATAATCAAGGGGGCACAAAATGGGCTGCAAATCCATCGGGCTGCACTTGAGGGGCGGCAGATTTCCGTACACCGTCTCCGATCGTGTAGCGAGGCTTCATGCGGTGTTGTACAGAAGAGGGTATTTCTAGGAAATTCATGACCCTATCAATATCCTCAGAAAGTATCGGATCCTTCTCCAAGATTAGTGCCACTGGTCCCACTTCAAAAACGCTGATTACTTTATCCATCTCAAATTCAGAAAGTTTTCACACTATTTTTTTCTACTTTTCTGCTGGAAATTGGGTGTGATATGTACTGCGATGACGATGATTAATCCGAATTGCTTCGCATCGCAGCACGCAATCAATGGTTCGTTATCAGGGAATGATTACATGCATGATCAAATGGTGAAATTTGGAACCTTATCGTGGGATAGGGCTCAGAATGGATTTTTTTCCACAGAGATATGTAAATATGCGAATGTAAATATATTTCATAAGCACATACGCATTTAGTTTAAATAAAACTCTTATCTTTTGATTTGAACTGGTTGTCATGACAATGTTCCATTCGAGCTCGTCTCCGGTCACTTTGCATAATCCCTTTTCAATAAGGGTTATTGCAGAATTTTTATTCTATAAAAGTCACATGGCATAAACGACCAGTTTCCATAATACGTTTACTCATAATTGCAAAAAATTAATGAGAACTAAAATCGCATAGACAATATATACGTAATTGGTTGCAAATATTGCAGCGTATCACGCACTGTCATCATTCTTACGATGATAAATTAATCGAAGATGTAAAAAAATATGTGGTCTACCTAATATACAGAATTTTAAAATAAATTCCGGGATCCGAGAAATGGTTAAAAATGTCTCAATTTTGGTGATAAATAAGTCATGCGGTAAAAATGATGTTATTTTTTTTAAAAGTAAATGCACTCTGAATTCAAGATAAGGTAAGTAAACGTTACGTCAGCGAGAAAGCTGTTTAAAGAAAGTAAAGTGAAATGAATTTGAACAAAAATGAGTCACTATGAATGAAAATCTTCACTCATAACTTGGGAGGGCTAACTTTATATTGAGTATTGAATGAAAACTAATTTTTTGAACAGGTACCACTCCAACGTCGAGCTGCAGGCGCACGTGCGACAAGTCCACACAGGCGAGCGGCCCTTCACCTGCGACCAGGCGGGGTGTGGAAGCGCCTAGGTCGCTCACCCTGCATTCGAGGAACACGCATAAAATAGGCGAGCGGAAGAGCGGGTTCAAACTGCCGAGTCGGAAAAGATCGGATGTGGTGGTCTTAGTAGGTGGAGATGAATAAAGTGGAGGAATTTTTTGTCAGAAATTTATTAAGTTAACCGGGAACATATTTTTTTACGTGTATTTAATTTAATTTAAATTTAAAAGATGATCTACATATGTCCATTGCTCAGATTGATGAAATAAATTATTTTTAATCAAGAAATACAAATGTGCAGTGCAACATGACCTTGGCGTTTCGACGTGAAGCTCAATTTAGCTGTATTGAAAATTGATGAGTCGGATATCCGTCTTTTGATAACCTGATCGGATATTTTTTGACACTGAATCTGTAATTGTTCAACTTTTTTTTACTTTATATGAATCTACCACCAGCACTCTCTTTAACCAATAATCTAATTATGCTCATCAAAAACGATAATTTTTTTAAAACTTGTTACAATTTTATTTACATAAATGAAAAACCTCATGTCATACATATGTATGTTTGTCCCCTTCAGCCGTCGTTACGCGCAGTTTTCGTCTGGTGATCAGAAATGGAGCTCGGGTTTCCACCCGGGTTATTCTTTTTGGGAGAGGTCACCTCTCAAATTTTGTCGTCGTTTGAGCCATTACAAAAAATGTGAAATTGAAAATCACAATGCCGTCTTTGTTAAATTACAGTGACGTCGAAGCTATTGTCTCGAGGGCGATATGATTTCGTAAAGTTAGGGGTCGTTCACAAATTATGTGATGCAAAAAATCACGATTTTGTTGCCTCCCCCGAAACACGTGTCACATATCACATTTGAGCTTTAGATCTCCTCTCATCCCTGCCGCGTTACATAATTTATGAACGGCCCTCAAATGTACATATGCATTAATAATGGCCAATTATTTGCTACCAGTGTTCGACAAAAAACAAAAGCGTTATTGCGTCTTACATTTTTTGGCATATTTTATTGTTTTTACATTTTGCAAATTTTTTTTAGCTTCGTACGTATATTTAAATGATTTTTATCTATCCGGTTCATCATTAAAGGACGGGGGTCCTTCGTGTTGTCTTCGCCAAAGTCGTTCGGTCCTCCGGGGCGAATGTGATTATTTAAATGGCGAGAATATAAAGCACAAGTCGGATTTTGGGATAAGAATCATCTCTTTCGTAAGCATTGGCTGACAGGACCCGGAGTCTCTCAGAAACCCGGTTTTATCCTAGTGTTCACTTTCTCTCGGGGAGAAAGTGCCCATAAGTCTGCATACACATTTATGTATATTAGTCAACATCCGTCCACTGTTTCGTTTCCTCTACTACAAAGCAATCACTGCAAGGAACTCGGGACATCCAGTCCATCCCTGGTCAAAAATATAGTTTTCATTCTAAAGTCAGTCTGACTTTAGACTTTCATTCATATTCAGTCATTTTATTTGAAATTTATTTCATTTCTTACTCGACTTCACTTCTTAATAAATTGATTATTTAATTAGTTATTAAGCCTTTTTGACAAATAATTTTTGTCCAAAAGCACTGAATAAGTAGATTTTTATTCTATTTGACTCAAGCAATAAATACTCTGCATGGTCAAGACATCTTTTGATCGATACAAACGGATAATTTCCTAAGGGATCGTGCTATTTAAGGGCTGTAATGTGGGCAAAAAATCGCTCCAATTTATCAAACCATTTGTAAATATAACCTATTTTTTGCATACATAAATTAGAAAAATTGATTATAATTAAATAGACGATATTACATATAATTTAAAGCTTATAAAAAAAATTGTAACCATTTATATTTATCTTTACCAAATGTTTACATATTTAACATCAAGTAGTGGCAAATCTGTGCCCTGTCTTACAATTCTAATTCACCATTCTCTTACTTTGTCATCCATTTATTGGAGGTGATGAGTTTATCACACGTGTCATCATCTTACACCTGTCATCGTACAACGCGTGGTTGACAACACTTCCAAATCGTAAAATGATACATACATATATGAGATGCGAAGTTTCACTGAATTCGCCAGCCACGGGTACGGATTCACGTTTTGGTTTGATTGTTTTGTGATTACACAGATCTACATCCTTTACCCAGGAGAAATCCTGCCAAGATCTGCGATCCGTGCTTGACTTCTAACTCGGGGCTCTAAGCACGCTACGCTCTTATAAGACGCGCAGGTATGTAAGTATTTATTGGTACAAAGTGGGGAACAATATTGTTACCATTTGTCGAATTGGGGACAATTCAAAGCTGATATAAATTCCGTGAAGATTTTCACTTTCTCCAGATCACTTGGTGACCTATTTATTTCGTAATTTCTCCCTTCAAATTTCAATTTTTGAATGAATTTAGTTCAAATAGAAAATATTTATGTCAAATCTATTAATAAATAATAAATAATTTATTTATTGCATCATAGCCAACAGCCTTTGCACATTCATGAATGGTTACATATTATTGATAATCATAAAATAGATAAAATAAAGTATTGCTCATAACATAGGTCAAAATATTTGGCGACTTTGTGCCAAAAAAGAAATACATTATTCAGTACTTTATCATTACAAATCTATATGTCAAATCTATTAAGGCCCACTGACCGTGGGGGGACATGGTCGCACGACAAATTTTCCGTCTTTATCCCCTCACGCATCCGCGGCCACTGCAAATAATTACTTCCAGCCGAACTGATTTAAATATGTACAAATATCCATAATAAGGGGCCGTTTATTTATTATTTAATGTAAAAAATTTACACCGCACTTCCCCCCCCCTTCTGACTCCCCCATTTAAGGACATGACTAACAAAAACATCCGTTTTGCAACAACGCACTTTTTAGCCTTGATCAAACTATGTTTTTACGTAACGAAAAGTGCCATAATCAAGGTTTACTTATATAATCGATTATAAAAAACAATGCAAAATTAATTTCATCCTTTCTGCCATTCTCAAATTATGAAACGACTTTGAAACCAATTATTACTTTCGGATAAAAACTAAACCATTGAAACTTTTCCATATTACTTCAGCCCACCCAGCGAATACAGATCACTTAAAGAAGGATGAAGATATGGTTATTGTTTCAGTATAGGGAAATGGGGTTCCAAATGCTGTGATTGGCTGACGGTTTTTATGGGCATCCGCCCATAAAAACAGGGCCGTGGCACAACTCAATTTTTCCCAATCTCAATTTCCCCATTACTTGGAAATCTCACTCCTTTCTTGGCACCAAAATCAGGTGTCTCCTTTACCATCATTCTTGCTGCCAAACTCGGAAAAGCTGAGTAATTAAAAGATTATTTAATATCCTACAAATTAATTTTCTGACATCCACTCAACTACATAAATTGCTTCAACTCACCACAAGTTCAGCTCTAAACTTCAACTCTAGGTAAGTAGTAAAGTAATTACTATTTTCTTTTAGCAATGAACGGTGGGGACGCAAATATGGTGGTGACACGTTCATTTTTACGAGTGATTTCGATGTTAATTTATTGTGGTTTATTGGTATAGGTAACTGCTAACGACAATTTTTCATCGATTAATTTTGCGACCTCTCTGCCGTGCCCTCACCAGAAATCTGTGTCATCGCCGGCCAAACTGGTAAATGCAAACTTTAACTCTCCAAAAATAAGGACCAAGGAATTTGTATTTTGTAATGCACTATATTTTGTTTAATTATAGACTCAATTACCATGAGATGTTGCTCGTGACCTGGTAACAGTGTGAAATTGTCGGAAACTTCTTTAAAGTTTACCAGGTTCGGCCATAATATTAAACAATAACTTATATAATGAACGGTGGAAACACATACATATACATAATGTATGGTGAAAACACGCTCATGGCTGGACGCTCACGCTCCTAACTGTCATAATTCATTAAATGAAGAAGATCACAATTCGTCCTTTTTCAGTCTGCCAAAGTGCCCGAAGAGGTATAGTTTCCCATGCAAAATAACTTATTCGTCTGATCGTTAATTTGAGTATTTTTAAAGGTGTCAGGAGTGGTGTGACATTCTCGACATCGATAAGGAAACCCAGGAAGAACAGATATCGTAATTACTCTGGGTTTT